TTGTGGGTTTCGGGAAGCCAATCATTGGCATATATTTTGGGAGTGTCCAATGATAAAACATTTCTGGGCAGACCATCATAAAGCAGTGGAAAGCATTCTTAAAACTTCAATGCCCTTGCACTTTTCCACATTATTTTTAGGAAGTGCTGATCTTCAAATAAGACCCTCCGAGAGATATCTATTTGGAATTTTAACAACTGCTGGTAAAAAAGCGCTTACAAGACGTTGGTTGCTTCCTGAACCTCCCACAATGAGAGTGGATGGATATAGTAAAGGATATTTATTTTATGGAAAAGATTACTTTTTCCCTCCGTCTGCAAAAGAATGTGTTTAGAAAAATCTGGTCCAGGTGGGTTAAATATATAAAACCATTACGGCCAGACTTTGTGGAAGTATAAAACAATTGACCTTACTTTTCTGAGTGGAAAATATTGTAATTTCTATGGTATGCCTTTCCCTTGTTGGAAGCCGGGGTTTTTTGTTTTTTTTTAAACCCATAGTTCATATCCTAGACCAAGAATGAACACTTGGCATTATTCAGTACAGTGTATGATTACTAAGTTTATGCTTAACCTCCCCTGGATTGTACAAATGATTATTGTTATTAATAACATTATTTGAATTTTATTTTATTTTGTTTATTTAGTTCTGTATTATGTTTAAAAAGAAATCGATTGGCAGAGAACGATGTAATTACATTTGTTTGGATATAATATACTGTTGTTTAAGCTGCTACATCAAAATTTCAAAAAAAGAAGTGTTCAAGAAGGGTGGGGGTGGGGCTGGGGGACCACTCACCCTTCATTCACAACACTGATGTCAAAGTAAGCCCTTGCCCCATTGATGTTGCATTTTTTCGCTCTGGACATTCTAAATCATCGTAGGGGACATTCTAAAACACTTAAGGTGGCTAATTGTTTGAAAACGGCTACCAGTAAGTTCTCTCAGATGCGTCTTATCATGAACACTACCACCTGGCAAAAAATCAAAATGCTAGAAATATGGACATTCTCTCACATGTGTCACGCCCAGCTTGTTCGATCCTCGTGCCACGCCCCCTTATTACCTACGCGCGCAAACCCCGATTGTGATCACCTGTTTCCTGTTATGTCGGCATGTCTTGTGTATTTCAGTCCGCGTTCAAGTCTGTTTCCCCAGGTCTGTCATTGACGTTGTACGCCGTGTGATCCCCTGTCTGCTTATTCCCCTTAATAAACCACGTTGCTCCGCTTCGCGTCGGGTCCTGATCACACTGTCGGGGCTTATTTCTGCGATAACTACCGGCTGCCTGTACATTATCCCTTACTTAGAAATAAAATCATTATTAATTAATTACATGTGTCATTTACAATTATTTCACTATTTATTTAATTTTGGCACTCAGCCCTCCATACTGTCCTGCTCGGCACAACAATATTATTATAATTAAATGTATTAATGGTGTATTAGTAATATTTAAATAATAAGAAATCTTTATTTTTAAATGTATTTTATTATATAATAATAATTACTTTTACTGTCTATCATTGTCTAAATGTATTTGTACTGTCTAAATATATGTATTCAGCTAGTGTAAACATGCACGATGCTATCACAGCGAATGCGAGGCTGAGACTGAAGCGTTACCCTTTGTTCCCGCTGAGAGACGTGCCACGTGACTCATTTCCCCGCACGTACAAGTTATCTTAGGTTGCCGTTCACGGTTTGACTTCTGAGATTCAGATCGAGCTTTAGGTATAATTTTTTTTCCAAACTGGTTGGTTCGACTTTTAAGAAATTTGAGTTCTAATGAGTTCGAGAACTGAGGTACCACTGTATATAAAATGTTTGTATCATAATGTAATCCTGAAGCGTCACGGAGTGGTCAAATCACTTGTAGTTTATCTTGTTTTGACTCCCAAAAACTTTATATTATGAACACGCATTAGAATTTAATAACTGAAGGCTGAATTTTAACAATTTTTTTTGACATTTTAGGTATATTTTATGTAACATTAATGTTATGACTGACTATGAAAATCTGTGTTTTCACGGAGCATGAAGCAAGGATCTATTCTTACCCGTTGTTTAAAATCATTAGGCCTATATGGTATGTATGGTATGTTTGGTATCTTTATTAAATTGATCAATTATAATCACGTTAATTCATGTATTGAAAGGAGTTTGACAGTAGTCAGTGTTTAGTACTGCTGTAAGGTAAACACTGCCAGGTTACAAAATTTCAAAATGACTTAAAATATTCATTCATAATTTAGAAAAGTAATCAAAAAGTAAAACTGACATTGATAAAAAAAATATATACATATTTTTTTATTTTTATATATTTTATATTCCCCCCCACATCGGGGAGGGCGGCGCCCGAGCGCCCCCTATGGGCCAGCCGCCACTGCAAAGCTCCTCACTGACATCAAGCCACAGAGCATCACGCAGGGTTCCAAAAGCTCTGCAGCTACAAACTCTCTCAGCTGAAACTGAAGGAGGGGTTCCGAGATCCGGTGGACCCTGAACACTTACAGCTTAAAGTGGAGAACCTTCAGTGCTAACTTCGTGTCTGTCACTCGTGGTCCGAGGCCCCTGGAGAACTCGCCTATCACTGCCCAGCTCAACTTCCGTTTAATAACTCACTATTCCCTCAAAACCAGAGGTTAAAAGGACCATCTCTGTAGGTCAATACATAGCAAGGTCATGCTGTGGTGGAGCTCTAGGCAAGGTTTAAAGCCGTGTCAGACTGGCTTGCAGACCACCAGAGAGTCTGGGAACAGGCTAGACAGGCAGCACAAACTGGAATGATTCCAGTATGGGGTCCAGCATCAAAGCCAGTCAGGACTCCCAGCTCAGGGTCCGGCCCATTTAAAATGCTGCAGAATCCCCGTGACTGTCAGACACTAAAGAGGCCAACAAACACCTGGTACCACAAAGAGGGCGGGGAGCAGGGGGTGGCAGCTCACCGTGAGCAGGGTGTCAGCTTGAGAGCAAAACAAAAATCAAAGAGCAAATCTACATACTACACAACAATAGAATGCTATTGTACCCAAAGAAATTTGATATGGCTTTGTATAATTTTACATAA